GTAGGGAGCTCTATTGGAGGAAATAGAAAGCAGAGGACCCCCACCCAGTCCCGCAGGAGTGAGGTTCCGAGGACCGAGAGGCGGGCGTCGGTCGCCCTCCGCAGGCTCTCTTCTGCCTGCAGAAAGATCCTCAAGAGGGTCTGGAAGCCGCGGAGGAAACCGCGAGGCAGCGAGTCCAAGCCCGAGAGTGCGGAGCTGAGTCCTGTCGCCCGGCTCTAACGCTGGCCGGTGCCGCCGCTTGCCGCCCCTCCTCCCCGCCGCCCGCACAAATCAAAGCCCCTTGCGAGGGACTGGGAAATAGTTGCCTTGTCATGTAACACATTGCCCTGATTTATTATAAAATTTTAACGAAATCATGCATATTTTAACAGCCTTTAATCACTGCATGAAAATTTAATTCATGGACTGTAGCGCGTTTAAATAAATGAAGTGTTAATTCATTAGGATTAATTAATTTGTTAAAGGATTGTGTGCAAGGTTAAGGTGGAAAGAAAACTCTTTGTTGGCTTCGCGTCTTAATCGTCAGGTTTCCAGAGTGATAATAAAATGAAAGGAAACCGCAGAACACGCGGTAGGAGTAGGGCTGGAGAGGGACCAGCTGAGAGCACCCTCAAAAGCGCGGGAAACTCCGGCTGGAGAAGCAAGGAACGGTTTGTGCTCAGAAGTGACTGGGGAGGAGGGGGCGGAGGTTGGGGTTGGGGGAGACCGTAATGGTGGCGGGAATCGGGGAAAGCTGAGTTCTTTAGGGTCCGAGGGAGAAAGGGAAGCTCAGAGATAAGCTGGCGGGACAGATCCCACCTTTTCACCAAATTGACCCCATGGGTAAGGCAAGGTTGCCCCTTCCAGCCCTCAGAGGGCCAAGCCTCGACTTAATGGACAGTTGATGGACCAGCCCCGCCACCTGCTAAGATTTTTCAGCGCCAGGGGAGTCACTGTCTCGCCATCAGGCCGCCGGTCCTGGCGACTAGGGCAAGACCCAGAGCCTCGGGGGATTATGACTGGAGGAGGAGCAAAGCCCAATTTGCAAAGCTCAGGCAGTAGCAATACGGGAAACCTCATTCAGTCAGGAACCCAGACTTTAGGATGGGGTTCCTTCAGCGCTTCTGAAACCGCTGATAAAAAGGTGCCCCCGCCAGCATAAGACAAAAGTCTTATGTGCCCAATTCTTTACTCAACCTTCAGAGACCTAGTAAGAACAGCACCTCCATGAAGCCACCAGATTTCCTCACAGTTCAAGCTCTCTGCAACGTGAACACTCTTCTATTCACCAATGTCAAGAATCAAAATGGACTAGACTTACAGGATCCCTTCTCTAAGTCAGATCCTTACCCTTTGTGTAAAGCCCTTACACCCACAGATTATAAACACAAAAAGCCCACCTACACACTTGGCTTAACCCAACTAATATTATTAGAGAGGGTCTCCTCCCTATTAACACAGCAAACCTAAGAATCTACCTTGTTTCAAAAAGTGGACTTGGCAACTCAAAGTATTCTAGACTGTTTCAGCCACATTAAACTGAAGATCACCCTAGCCTGTGCTCTAGATGGATTCTTAAATATGCATCTTAATAAATGCTTCCTCGCTATGAGTGGGGTTCCGAGAATTAGGCAATAAATGTTCACTATGCACTCTGAGATCATTGCTTAAAAGGTTTTCTCTCTGCCAAGTATTATTAAAGGGATCAGGTTACATTGTGATAGGCAAAGGCTGTATTGCAGGACTTCCACAAATAGGAAAGACAGACCTTCTTATGAGGTTTTGGAAACTCTTCTAACAGGCCACACACCATAAACTGTTAATTTGATGCTCTCTACAAATACCATCCACAGGCACAAAAGTGGAAAAAAAATCTCTTGTGCAGATTATTACTTTGAATAATTGCAAACCATTCAAGTATATGGAGACAAGTTCCTGAAACATATAGTTCAAGATCAGGTGCTCTTGTTTAGTGGTACCTTTGTTTCAAACTAATGTAGATACCAAAGAGATGACAGGAAAGCCAAGCAGGTTTGAAATTAAGAGACTTGAGTCTACCATTTTCAGTTTTTTTTTTTTTGTCAGCTGACTAAACCAACAAAAAGGACATAATTTTTAGATGTTTTTAAAATTAAAACTACTAAAGGTCATGACAACAAAACCCTAGCATCTAGTTATATTGCTATAGTCAGCAATTTAGAAAAATTAGCCTCAAAAGCTATTTTTATAAAAACATGAAGTGATATCACTAATATACTGTTTTCTAGCATAACTTTAGTGATATTAGCCAATAGCAAAAGAAAATTTAAATTTATAAAATGTCAGAGTCATTGTGAATCTTTAAAAGTATATAGTTCCTATATGGAAGCCGAGCCAAACATATAGTTTCTATATGGAAGCAGAGCCAAGACCAAGGAACACAGGCCAGGCAGGAAATAAATGTCACTTGTAAAGAATACATGAACACTCTCAAAATAATTTTAAAGGAACTCTTGGGAAATTCAAACCATTCATCCTTTGTTTCCAAATATGAACTCACACACAGGAATAGAAGAGCATAAGCTCTGGAACCAGAGACCCATTTTTAAAATATGGTTCTATCCAATTTCAGCTGTGGTAACTAATCCTCAAGTTGCTTTTCTGTAAATTAGGGAGAACTACATCTCTGTCCTATCAGGGATAGGCCTCCCATGCCTGCCAGTTGTCTTCCAGGATTTAAGAAAAAGGATTAGATGAGATATAGGGGAGTAAATATTTGGTCTCAATGTTGGCTTATGTATATATAGAAGACATATTTGAAAATCTGCTAGACTTCCTTATTTGTCATGACATTAGATTATGGTAAAGACATAAAAAGTAAGCATATGTGACCAAATTCAAATTCTGTACAAACAGGAACAGCATAGGTTGATGTATGAAATATTGCTTTAGGAAGGATGAAGAGCCTCTTGAAGGTAAGCAACTGGGAAGCACTCTAGACCAACAGATTAGTAAATAAGGCTACACACTTAGATTTGCAAGACACACTATCAGTATTTGGACTAAAATACACATTCTTGGTTACAGACAGAGTGAAGCCCCTTTTTCTTAGTTCATTTGAGCTGTTATAATAAAATACCTTAGATCAGCTAATTTATTAATAGAAATTTATTTTTCACAGTTCTGAGGCAGGGGAGTCCAAAGATCAAGGCCACGTTGTAGAAGGGGACAAAGAAGCTCTTTCAGGCCTGAGTATTAACCCCATTCACAAAGGCAGAGCCCTCATGACCTAATCGCTTCCCAAAGGCCCACCTCTTAATACACTACCTTGTAGGCTAGTTTTCAACACATTAATTGGGGACGGGGTGGGGGGTGGGGTGGACATACACATACACTTAGACCATACCATCCCTACATCTACTGACAAAATTTTTAGATTTCTTCATTTGAGTTCCTAATGGATAACCATATTATCAAAGATATTTAAACTGCTAATAGCTCTGAAAGTATCCATTAGCTTTAACATATTATATATTAGCTTTTTCTGGTTGTTACTTCTGAAATTGGAAAGCATAATTCTCCAAATCATAGAAGTGATTTTGTTATATTTTTATGGTTTCATTGAATCTTGAGTCTATTACAACAAGGATCAGCATTTTTTTCTGTAAAACAAGGCAGACTGTACATATTTCAAACTTTCTAATCTATATGGTCTCTGTTGTAGCTACTCAACTCTACTGCTGTATTGCAAAAGCAGCCATAGATAGTAGGTAATCAAGTGAATATAGCTATGTTACAGTAAGACTTTATTTTAGAAACTTTGAAATGTGAATTTCATGTAATTTTCTTGTGTCATGAAATATTAATTCTTTGGATTAAAAAAAACACTTAAAAAACTAAAATCCATTTTTTGCTTATAAGCCTTTCTAAAATCTGGTATAGACCAGATTTAGTCCATGGGCCAGAGTTGAATGACCCTGTATTATAAAAAATAATTACAAATAAATTTTCCTGGTCTTTACAGGCTAATTCAATATCTGAGACATCAAGACATACAGTGCTTATGACATTCTTTATTCAATTCACATAGAAAAGCATGCAGTATTAATGTAAAACAATAAGGTATTAATGTAAAATGTTAAGTGCACATTAGATAAACAAGTCATTAGCATACAAACCCATTTTTAAAGACGTTTATAGGCATACCAAACATGTTCAGAATAATATACTTTTTCAGAGCCTAAATTAAAACTTGTGCTTAGCTCTTACCTATCCTTATCCCCTAAACTCTTCATTTAGAAAAGTTGTCCTACATACTAGCCAACTGAAACTTCTTTTTTAAAAGAAGTTTAAAGAAATATTTTTTTAAGAAAATAGAGCAAGCAAAAATGCTGCCATGCATTTCCACAAAGAACAGTAACATGCAAAGAAGAACATTATCACTATGAAAATCCCTCCCCTATGATATAAGTGGATCAAAGAACTTGGTAAAGAGTGCTTCTGTACCTATACATCTGGAACAATGAAGCTGTGATGTTGAAGCTTCTTCAAATTCAACCATGCCTTCCTTCCAAATTATGCTCAATTTCTGATTTTATATAGACACATATAGATGAGCATATATAAGCTACCTGACACAGAATGAATACTTTCATAGAGAAAATATATTCTTTCACACTAGCAGAACATTTTCACAAAAACTGGACAAAGCACAATTGTAAAAAATGCAAACATATATGTAAAATCTAACAAAAAGTAAAAGAACATTGGACTGAAGTCAGAGTGCTATTTCTTCATTAAGGCCTTGCATAAAAGATAGGCCATCACAAAACATAAATAAAGAGGAACACACAACCTACACCCTAGAAAAAGCTTTAAAGAAACTCTTATGAGCAGTATGTAGACAATACTAAAAGTTTTACTTAAGAATAGAGTATTGAAGACAACTGAGCCTCATTAATAAGATTCTGTATCTAACAGTTAAATAAAATTCAAGGAAACAAAACCAACCAACCCAGATACATATAATATTCACTAAAAATAAAACAATCAAACAAAAACTTTCTCAGGTCCAAAAGATATCTAAATAAAAATAAAAAGACCAAAGTCTTTTTCAAAATGAAATAAGTACAGTGGATACAGGTTAAGTTACCATTCTGACCTGGCATCTGATTAAAGATCATCAATTCAAAACCGTCTAGGACTTTTATAAAGGGAAAAAAGTAACTTTAAAAAATTTTTATGTTCCTTTCAGGATAAAACCACAAATAACACCTCCCTAATCAGTCAACTTTTGGTTGCTTTTGATGGACTGGCATTGGAAAGGCTGCTCTGGATTTTTCTTTTTGTTGACTGATTCACATTTTTATTCCTCTTTTCAGGCACAAAGGAAGTAGACCAAGGAGACTGAAGGTGGTTATGAAGACTGTGCATTTCTGAAGACGTCTTAAATAATGATGACCCAAACCTTTGATCTTCAAATAGTCGATGTGAACTACTTAACAAAACACCCTGGGAAAATTCTGTCTGAAACAAACAGCTTGGGGGTTTGATATCATTAGTTCCTGAATTAGAAGTAGAATGGAGTGAAAAATCTTCATTCATTTCTTGGTCTGATGGAGAGAGGAGAAAAAAGGAAGTAGGTTTCCATTCATTTCCATTTTCTAACTGATCAGTAGTTAGAGAACTTTTGGAAAGGTTTAGCTTAGTTCTTTCTTCCAGCTTTTCAGATTCTTCAAGAAATTCACTGCCTTGAGAAGACTTTGATAACCCATCCAAATCCACAGACTTAAAACCATTATTACAAGGGCTCTTGCTATTGTCTGACTCTGACATCATTGAATCCAACTCAGAGATTTTGTCAAGGTAAGCAGCATCCATTGATGCTTCGCTGGATGTTCTTGTCCGATTCATTTCAAAAGAGCGAATACAATTCAGCCTCTTGGATAAACATGAGCCTGACTTCTCACTCAATTTTAATGATATTTCTCCGACAGAATTTGCTATTGTGTTCTCCTCTGAATTTTCAAAATCCAAGCTTTGGGCATAGCTTGTGGAGCAACAATCCCAAAATCCTGTCTTTGGGGAAGTAAAACATTCTGATTTTTTTTCATTTTCATTTCTACTTGTATCATCTTCTGAAGAATCTTTATTACAAACATTTTGAGAATCACAAAAATCATCAAACACCAATTTTCTGAGATGGTTTGAGTGCTTTTTAGAACTTCCTGCTTTGACCACAGAGCTTTCTCTATTTTCTGGTGTATTTAGCTGAAGGCAACTAAGGGACAAAGGAGTACAAGGGGCTGGAAGATCATAAAGCTCTTCATCTTTAAAGGGTACACAGTCATTTGGTTTATTACTCCACTCTCCTTCCAAATAAGTATCCATACTTGTATCTGTCACATCTAACATTATTTCTACTTGTTTTTGGTATATATCTTTGTTCTTAGGACAGTTTGATTCTGTTTTGCTAGTGTTTTCCTGTCGGGCAGAACTGGTGTCAGAGATTCGGCCACTGGAGGGCTTTGCCAGGTGGACAGTAATGGAGGCAGATGAGCCAGGTTGCTTTCTGGCACTATCACCTTGGTTCTTCGATGCCACATCCTCCTCACTACTTTTGCTCCCATTGCCATCTGCAGAAAGCGCTCTCTGGCAAATGGAATCCATAGTTTCCTTCTCTTCACTTGAATTTTTTAGTTGTGCAACTTGAGATTCTAGTTCCTCTATATACTTATCACTCCGTTCCAGGGCTTTCTTGAGGCGATTGGTTTCACGTTCATACTGTTCTACTTTGGACTGCAGAGCAGCAACTGTAAACCTTCCAAACCTAGAAGGAATGGAAGGATAATTAATCTCATAGTTCAAGCTGTTTTCTTTTCAAAGTTTAAAAGTGCAAACTGTCCCAGCACATTCTAATTTCACATAACAATGACATTTCAAGCCACTTAGTGAATAGAACAAAGCTATACCAGATATTATATCTTCAAAAATCATTTCCCCACCTATGTACTAATAAGCATATGATTATAGCAAAGATCTAAAAGGATATTGTAGTGGTAGAATCAGACTACTGGTAAGCAAGAGGCAGAAACTCACTGATGATTTCCTTTCCAAGAACTAATTCTATCAATTCAGTTCATATATGCATGAAGAGTTATCCCCTAAAACAATGGCAAAGATTTATGATAACATTTGAACAGTGGTCCACATCTTGAAATATTTACATTCAATCATTTTCCTATTGTAGAGCAGTGTTTTACAATACATTTCTTATACAATGTCACCTTGTCAAACATAAAACACCAATTTGAAATTCAGAAACTCAGAAGTCTGAGGAGGGGTGGTTTTAAATACTTATTTGGACCCTTTCAATTACAGCCACCCTCTGTATGAAGATTTTCTGTGGCCTTTCTGAGCAGTAGGCTTTAATTCATTTCAGCTTTACTTATTTTTGGCATTTTACAATTTAGGATATCAATCTCATTTCTTCCAACTCTGAAATACAAAGTCAGTCCTTATGGTTCCAAAATAGTATGCATAAAAACATTTTTACATTTTCTGAACAGGAACATTGTGGACACGGACTAGAAAGAACATATCAAAAATTTACTCTTTTTACCTGGTATTTTTTCCCATTGTTCTGTCAAGAACGGGTACTGGGTTCAGCTCAAAAAATAACTTTTGAGCACCTACTATAGGTTAAGAGGTCTATTTAAGGCGGACACACACATGAATGAAACTATTCCAATTCCAAGGAAGAGAAAATATCCAGCTTAAATTCTATCTGACCACTAAGAAAAATTCTATCTTTCAGGAAACTGTAAGAAATGAGTAAAAAAAATAAGCCCATAAAAAGTATTTTTCCTCTACCAAGATTATTGTCAAGAGCTTCAATCAACTTTTTGATGACATATATTGATCCACCTCTAAGAATTCAGGGATGACCTGTTTGCCGGAAGGTATTTGAAAAGGTAACTTCTAAATTTTGTTTTTATCTTTGGGTTTATCTTTGTATCCCCCCCCCATTATAAAAATAATTACAATTAAGAAAATTTATTAAGTATTAAAAAAAAACTATAAAGGAACACAAGGAGCCAACAGTAACTGCACCTCCTAGAATCAACCACACATTTTAGACAGTCCATCACCATCTATAACCCCTGGCCCAATTTACTCCCAGTTCAGCAACAACATGATCCTTGCTCTCTTGTTACTAAGGGAAAAAAGCAGAGGCAAAAGTAAATATAGAATCATAAAATCTCAGGATTAGAAAGGGCTTTAAAAGACATGATTGCTTAATATTGATCTATTCACTACAATTAACTGTGAACTCCCAGGGAGAGTGTACTCCCTTCAACTTTTAAAACACAAAGCAAAACCACGGGCTTAACTAAAACAAAAACAACTACTAAAACAAGTCTCTCCATCTTAAAAGACAAAGTTTACTACTATGAGTATCTGGTTAAGTAAATGACAGTTTTTCCTCTTTGTTTAAAATGTGTTAGCCCATAAATGTACTTGACAGGTGTACTTTTGTGAGAGAAGTATTAAAAAGTGGACAAAGATTAAGTGTATTTCACAAAAATGTTTGTCAGTTATTGACTTTTTCTGGCATAATCAAATAACCTACATGTTTTAAAATGGAAAAACCATGTAGCATGTTTATTTAATGCAAACAGCAAAAGTGACAGCCTTACATTTGCTTACCAAGATCAAATTTGTTCTTTTTTTTTTCAAAGTGCAGTGTTTTAATAAAGGTATCCTCATATGAAAAAAAAGAAAGAAATCAAATGATTTAAAATTAAATCATGCTACTAGATAGTAAGTCAGATGTTACCAAAAGATATAGCTGGGAACTCACAGACCTACATAAGGAATGATAAATGACAAATAAGAATATTTTTCAATAGCAATGTCTTGTTCCAGGTTTTAGCTTGGAATGTCAAACGTATTAAGACACTATTTTCCCCTACATTGTTTCTTTTCTTCTCTCTCTCTCTCTTTTTTTCCCCCCTATGGTGTTGGGAATAAAACTCAGGACCTTGAGCATGCTAGGCAGGTGCTCCATTACTGATCCACATCGCCAGCCTTATTTGTGTTTTTAAGACATAACAAAGAATTCTGTTTGAAATTATTGATATCCCTAACCAAATTTTTTTGTTATTTCAGACAGAAAGCTAAAGTGCTATGAGAACTAACAACAAAGGCCAGCAACAGAATGCACTCAAGAGGGACAAGCAAGTAGGAGTCACTGATGGAGTTAGAAATGTTTTTTCAAAGCTCACTGTCCCTAATTCTCCGAAGCTCCACTTCAACACTTTACAAGTCTATAATACTTAGTGATCAGATCTTTTTACCATGCTAATAAGAGACCCAGGCTGGTAGTCAAACTGACAGAAATATGTAATGAAAGCAATGAAATCAATCAATTAATTAATCAGTCTATGTAATTTATCTGTTTTCTAGCTCCATAAGAGTAGAAGTTTTAAGAGAGTAGGGAATTTGACTGTCTTACATTCACTATTAGATCCCTAGAATAATTCCAATTACACAGCTGTCCCTTATTAAATACTTCTTCAATAAATGTTACTCTCCTACTTTCACATACATGAGTGCCTTACATGAAGATGGTCAACACCACAGAATAAGTAAGCCTAAATAAAGGTCCTTGGTCCTGTTTTACATAAGTATTATGAGAGTCACTATATTACTAAACCACATGTGCTTCAGACATTTGACTGTTTACTTTCTTTTATTATTGACACCAAGGAAACCACCCCAGACTAACATATACACAGTATCTGCTTTTTAATTGTACGTTTAACATTCTATAAAGGTCCATCCAAAAAACTTCTGTTTTTACCTTAATAAAAGAATACCAGATGAGACTATTTTTTAAATATATTTATAATTTTTTTTGTATGTGGTGCTGAGAATCAAACCTAGTGCCTTGCAAATGCTAGGCAAGCACTCTACCACTGATCCAGAACTCCAGCCCCTCTCACAGACTTTGTTTTTTTGACAGTACTGGGGATTGAACCCAAGGCCTTGTACATTCGAGGCAAGCAATCTACCAACTGAGCTACATCCTCAGTCCCCAGATGAGACTTTTGACAGTACCTGTATTAAATTTGACAAAGGGAAATTTATCACATAGAAATAACATTTAGGGATACATACATGATGTTGTACCTCCATGGAATAACAGTTAGGATAAAAGCTTATCTTTGGAGCCAGGCATGGGCACACACCTGTAATCCCAGAGGCTCAGGAGGCTGAGGCAGGAGGATCAAGAGTGTAAAGTCAGCCTCAGCAACGGTGAGGCACTAAGCAACTCAGTGAGACCCTGTCTCTAAATAAAATTAAAAAATAAGGCTGGGGAATGTGGCTCAGTGGTTGAGTACCCCTGAATTCAATGCCCAGTACCTCCTCTTTCCAAAAAATATTATCTTTGAGTTTTAAAAAATACTCATTTATTCATGTTAATTCCAGATATTTCCAGAGTACATAATATTAAATGAAACAATGCCAAGGCAAGCCAGAGGGATGGTGCTGGGGATCAAACCCAGGGCCTTGTGCATACAAGGCAAGCACTCTACCAACTGAGCTACAACCCCAACCCAGCCAGAGGGATTTCTAAGATCATTTATCATAATTCCTTTTCCTGAGCAAGTTTCAAAATGGGGTATTTTTATAAACATTTCATTAGAGATCTAAAGACTTTGATTTTGAAAGTAGCATGAGGGCCAAAGACTTCATTATGCCACAGAAACACTGTAGAGCAGTTTGGGGAAAGCAACTTCCAATGAAGCATATTCTGCCAGAATCTACAAGTATCAAGGATTTTTTCAGCTAGCAATGCTAACTGAGGCATACATTCTGGATGAGAAACAAAGGATGAGAGTTTGCCCTTGTCCAAACGACTACAGAGGCACAAGATTGTTCCTTCCCTGCTAGAAGTAAAAGAAATTACAAGTCCTACTTATTTGAACTTTGAAACACTGTAACTACAGTAAGAGCATCTCTAAAAAAATATGCTTAAGACCACATTTTTTTATAGCTCATTACATAGAAGGAACAAGATATGATTAAGAGGGGTTAGAACAAATGAAATAAAAGAGTAAATGTCAGAACTGAGCAATTTATTTGCTTTTTGACTCCTCCATTTGAACTGAAGCTCCAGGAGTGCAGGAAGTTTGATTATTATATTCATTGCTAGATACCTAGAATAATTCCAACTATACAGCAGTCCTTTGTAAATGTCTTGAATAAATATCATTCTCATACTTTAAAGACACAATGCTGCTATTAACTAGTTGTGAAAGTGTTGCCTCTCTGATTCTTAACCCCAGCAAATTCATTAATCCCAGTGATTACCCAAACTACCAAACTTCAGAAAGTAAATGGCAGCATAATATTCGCATAGTTCTGCACCTTGCTCTTTTCATGAAATTAGTATATCTCGGTCATTTTCCATATTAGTTCAAAAAGAACCCTAAAGAGTTTATTCATTTATTATTATTTATTACTATTTTATTGGTCCATTATACTTACACATAATCACAGGATTCACTCTGATATATTCATATGTAAATAGTGCATAATTTGATCTGTTTCATTCTCCAAATCCCCTTCTCTCTGCCCTCCTCCCTAGGAATCCTCTAGACTACTGGTTTCTCTTCTATTTTCATGTCATTTTCTTTCATTCTTTTTTTTACTTCCACACATGAAAGAGAGAGGGAAAAAAATATAATTCTTGACTTTCTGAGTCTGGCTAATCTCAATAAGCATATGCAATGGAGTTCCAGTCAGCTGGAACAAAATTAG